AGTAACAAAGCTGTATCCAAGTCCACAGCCATGGCATTGTTAGACGTTGAGAAAGCGTTTGATAATGTCTGGCACAATGGGCTTGTATACAAGCTTTGTAACTTCAACTTTCCATTACATCTGGTTAAAATCACCCGTAGCTACCTCCAGCAAAGGTCGTTTAAGGTATCGTTGAATGGTTGTCTTTCCGACACGTTTTCCATCCCAGCAGGAGTCCCGCAAGGCAGTCTGCTGGGACCCTTGCTTTACAGCATTTACACTTCCGACATTCCTCCCCTTGGAGACGGTTGCGTGTTTTTCCTGTTCGCAGATGATACCGCAATAGCCGTCAAAGGAAGGATGCCTCGCGAAATAACGAACAAACTTCAACGATGCCTTAACGCCTTTGCTGATTATGCCACCACGTGGAAAATCAAAATCAATGCTTCCAAAACACAAACAATCATGTTCCTCCATCGGCAATCACCCAAACTAAAACCGGCTCCCTCTTGTACTGTAATCATGGATGGCACAAGGGTTGAGTGGTCCGCCGAAGTAACCTATCTCGGGATGTTGTTTGACGAAAAGCTCCTATTCCGCTCGCATGTGGAGAAAACCGTAGTCAAGTGTTCCGCCTTGGTTAGGAGTCTGTATCCGCTGATTTGCCGCAGATCCCGCCTCTCAAGGGTGAACAAACTGGCCGTCTACAAACAAATCATAGCACCTGCGATCTTCTACGCAGCTCCGGTGTGGGAATCATGTGCACAGACTCACAGGAACAAAATTCAGGTCGCTCAGAATAGAGTGCTGAGGATGGTTCTTGATCGTCCTTTCGACACTAGAATAACAAATTTACATGAAGAGGCAGGCATTGCCAAAATAGATTCCAAAATTAACGAAATTAAGACTAAATTTACACAAAAATGTAATTTATCAGAACATGCTTTGATAAGCAATTTGTATATAGTAGGTTAGGTGTACATAGTAGTTGTAGGTTAGTTGTAGTTGTAAATAGTAGTTATAAGTAGTCTCCCTTTTCCAATTCAAATCAAACCAATCCCACCAAGGTGGTCATACTTTAAAATAGGCCTGATAGGACTAGGAACTGTAAATAATAATTAAAATCTCAAATGTACCAAAGTTGAAAAGACGCATCTGTGTCACTTAACAAATTCATACATGTAAACCACACAATCACAAGAAATAAAGATCATTTAAATGGCAAAAAATAGCATCAACTCATTTTCGCTTCGGACGGCGTGGTGGTCAGCAATAGCAGCAGTAGGAACTAGGAAGGCGGTGCCTAGTTCACTCTTCTACATCAAACAAGCAACAATTGACTGGTCGTGTCAAAGGAGGAAAAGGTCTTGGTTAACTAGGTGCCAAGCGTCATCGCAAAGTTCTTCGAGATAACCGCCATCCGCCGTCTGGCTCGCCGTGGTGGTGTCAAACGTATATCCGGTCTGATCTACGAGGAGTGCTGAAGGTGTTCCTGGAAAATGAGGTCCGTGGTGCTGTCACCTACACTAAACACGCCAAGCGTAAGTGGCCATGGATGTCCTTTACAATAAAACGGCCCTTTTCAGGGCCATCAAGCTTATAACAGTAAAGAGTTGGAATAGAATTTGTCTGTACCTGCTTGTCCATATTCAGAACCACAGGCCCCCAACGACCACACAAAATGCTCTCCAGAGTTATAATCGTGTTACCAAACTTGGAAGCAGGGGTGCAAGTGATTTTGATTGATTCTCTTCATCAATTTTCTCTTTGAAAAAAAAATACTACAAATTTGGTATGCCTACAATTCCAAAACGGAAAGAGTTACGATAATAGATGATTGATCAAATAAAATAACTAAATGCTCTTCACATTTATTCCATCCACTAGCGGTCCTACGTCAAGCTTCTGTTCGTGCCCCTAGGCACAGACCCTTCTACTTTTTCATCTCCCTGTACACTGAAGCCAAAATACATAGTCGCCATTGGTGAAATCCTTTAAATTTAATTGGATGTTCAATGAAGATATCGCTTTGAAAAATCCATTAAAGACACATATTTCGGAGAACAGTTCTGGAAAAAAATATTCGTTTTGTAGGATTTTCCAATCGCGTAATTTTATATGAAAATCAATGGTTTTTACCCGGGACGGGACTTGACAATCGAGCTTCTCACTCTTCTTAATGTTTTTTTAAGGAATACCCTTCGGAAAGTTGTGCGTGGTGTTTGACGGAGTTGACAAATGAGGCCAGAAATGTAATTTTGTTTTTTCTATTTTAATTTGGATTTTATTCTAAGTTTGTACCGCAGTTTAGCAGCTTGTACATCATTTTTGCTCAACACAATAACAACAACCATAAACAAACAACAATATCCATCGCTTAAAACACGCAGTGCACTCAATTCACCACTTTGTCAAGCAGTTTTGGTGTGACTTTCTACCAGCGATTTCACAAAACTGGACCAACTAATTTCTATTTTTTTGTGAAACGCACAAATGTTGGCTACTTTTCTCGAGGTTCTAGAAGAAAAAATCTTAAAATAATGTTTCATTTCAAAGTTCGAGTGGTAGTAAACGTCATTTTATCTGCTCGAATGAAGTGGTTAATTGTTCAACTTTCCTTTCGCAAATATAAACAATTAACAACGCCATTGACGTCAACATTGATTCCGGCATCACTGCCAGCCAGATTGATGCGATCCCTGTTTCCTTTTTATTCCAAGATTGCTACTGTCAAATCGACCAATCAGAAACTGGCTCGGATTTGACTGGAAATTCGACCCGATTGTCAAGTCCCGTCTCAGGTTTTTACGAGTCATTTTCGCTCCGTGTAGGAACGAGCTGTCAAGATGTTTGTTTTGTGTCCAACAGCGATGTGATATTTTGCTTTATATCTTGATTAGAAAATCGAGAGCCGGCGCCGGTGGTGTAGTGGTAAGCGTGACTGCTTTCTAACACCCCAATGGGTCTGGGTTCAATCCCAGCCGAGGTCGGTGGGATTTTTCTGAGGCATAAAAATCTCTGGTCACGTCTTCCTTCGGAAGGGAAGTAAAGCCGTTGGTCCCGGCCCATGTGTGTTGAATGGGTGCGATATCCTACGCAGGTGTGGAAGCTGTCTTCCTGCACATTCGATTGCCGTCAATGGATGGCAATCGATGTCCGTCGGTGATTGGCACTAGATTGCGGAACAGAGACCGACGTTAAATAAAGGAAAGAAGAAGAAGAAGAAGAAGAAGAAAATCGAGATGGAAGTCTAATTCTAAGATCGAAAAAAGTATCGTTTTGCTCATAAAACGAAGTCCTCTCGGAGGATGTATAGTAACCGATAAATGTTTCAAAACTAAGGAACCCAATTGCGTGGCTAGTAGGTACAATGATACTGAAACAAGAAAATCAACCTGTAGCTGTAGGGTTCGGTATTTGTGACAGAACGGTAAACAACTAGCAGCAAATTGGAGATCTATTTTTCATCAACCGGTTGAAACACACTGCACGCCAAATCACTGCCAGCGGCAATTGCGTTGGCGTGTCGTGTGCTCGAGTCGCGTTGCTTGTAGTTGATTAAAATTGCCGTCATTAACATATTAATTATTATTAATGAATTAATATTGAGTCGTGCAGTATCAACAGGTTTTATGGGCAGTTTGAATTGACTTTTATTTTATTGGTGTCGATTTACGATTAGAACTTGAATTACTGCTAGATGCTTAGGTGTACTCGGAATAATTGTACCCTTGGCATGGAAATGGCACGGTTACCTAAACCGAAAGAATCTCATCAATTGTACAGGGTGAGCAAGAGTGACATAAGGACGTTTGGTCGAATAAACATTTGTCTGTATGGACGATTGGGCAAAAATTGGATCGACACATGTTTGCCATTTTGGTTACTCGGAGGTAAAGACATTTGGAGAGAGCCCGGACTTCTTCGGGAGCTTCCATACGTACTGATTTTCCAAGATTATTCACAGTCATCCAACAGAGAAAACCGATTGGCAATGGGTTTCGATGAGGTCACGCTCACGTATACGGTCGGGATATTTTTTTTTCCTTTGGTTTGTTTTTTCCGTCGATCTTGTTTTCCGTGCTGAGCACCAATGCTACCGACGTGCCAGGAAGGCAGCTCCCACACCTAGACCCTACCTATCAACTTATGAACCGGGGACCAACGGCTTTACTTCCCATCCGAAGGAAGGCGTGATCAGAGATGTTATGCCTCAGAACATCCCGGCGGCGCCGACTGGGATTGAACCCAGGCCTGCTGGGGTGAGAGGTAATCACGCTTACCACTACACCACCGGCGCCGTTTACGGTCGCGATATGAATTGAAGGCTATTTAATATTAAGGCACTTTTCACTGGTTGGTGAATTAATCGAGATTGTTTAATAATAGTCACATTGTAGGTCATTCGTGACTTGTCCCGGGATGATATTTGAATTCGTGATCTTTAGCATGTGAGGCATGTATGCCAATCACTACGCCGGGCCCGTCTCCTCTCGTCATTTTTTGCATTAACAATTGCCAATCATCTCTGGCTTACCAAAACGATCCCCCAATATGTAATTACCGTTCGATCACGAGGATTCCCGAATTAGAGCCTGTATCAGTGTGACTGTGTGAACAAATCATTCATAAGAAAGAAAAAAAAACTAATCCTTTTAGCAACCTACTGCTACCGAAACCCATCAATAACAATAACCAAACAAACAAACCAAAGACGACGATCATCATCATTACTCATTCCATATCGCCGACGACAGCCGGCTGCCGGTTGATGGATGATCAAAATAACGAGATCACAACTCACCACCCAATTTACACCCTTTCTTTCGCTGTTTTCCGCCTCGTCAGCTTCGGTTTCGTTCGGTTCTTGCATCTCTTCTAACGAGCGCGGTAAACAACGAGAGATTCGGAGAGCGAATCTCGCTCTCTTTCTCTCGCTCCTCCCCCTGACTCGGCAATAGTCTACATCTAGGCGACTTTCGATTCGACTAACAAATTTTGTTCTTCTGTTTTGCTTTCAGAACTGCTTACAAAGTACCTGGCGCCTCATGACCACGAACTGCAGCAGGAGCTGTTGGTTCGCATTTCCGATTACTGTAACAATAAGGTCACCAACTACACCCTGGACGAGTACGTGGATCCGTACGTGTGGAACTTTTACCACTCGTTCTACTTTGCGTTCATCGTGTGCTCTACCATTGGTTAGTAAATATTCCTTTCCCAGTTGAATGCGTCTTTTTACAACTATTATTTCCAGGCTATGGCAACATCTCACCGAACAACACCTTCGGTCGAATTTTCATGATCTTCTACGCCCTGATTGGCCTCCCGGTGAATGGTTTCTTCTTCGCCTATTTGGGCGATCTTTACTCAAAAACGGTACGTCCCTCACCCGGTCGATTTTATAGCAAACTAATTGCATCTATTTCAATTTCAGTACATCCGCTTGTATCGTCGCTACAAGCAGTTCAAACTGTCCTCCAACACCCAGTACGTCCCGCATAAGGTCAGCTTCATTGGGCAAATCATCCTGTACCTGATTCCGGGCATCGTGATATTCATCTTCGTACCGGCTGTCATCTTTTGCTACTTTGAAAAGTGGCCCTACGATGTGGGAGTGTACTATGCATTTGTGACATTGACCACGATTGGATTCGGGGACTACACGACGACGTTCCAGGCTTCGCAGGAGCACGAGTTCGGGGCGGCCTTCGTGTACTACCAGATCTTTATAATATTGTGGTTCTTCTCCGGTGTCGGCTATGTCTTCATGATATTGGGTTTTATAGCAAAGTAAGTTCCGGTTCGGGTCTTGGGAAGGTTGAGTTGGATTTTAATTGGATCTGGATTTGTTTTGCAGGGGATTGGCACACAAGAAGGTTCAGCGACTGGAGAAGATTCTGGCTCTGAACGTGAAGGCCACTCAAAGCCGGGTATGGAATGGCGTCACACGAGATATCAGCTACCTGAGGAAAATCCTGAACGAGGTTTATATGCTAAAGTTTAAGGTAAATTGAATTTCCATGCTTGAATGGTCAAGTTTCAAATTCGAAATCTTCTGCATTTCCTTGCAGCCCGTTTTCGAGGAGCCATCCGATCGCTTCGCCAGCATGAACCTCAGTCGGTCGGATTCCTGCCCGGAGCTGTCCATGTACCGCGAGGAAGATGTGGATCCCGTAGAGATCAGCCGGAAGCGTGCCTTCTCGATGAGTATGATGGCAACGGCGGAACTTCGTCAGCGCACCAAATCCACCGTTAGCATCCCATCGATCCGACGTCTATCGGACAGTGATCTCAGCCGAATCAACAGGACGAAGACCTTCGGCATCCATGCGTTGGTTCAACCTGCCGAGCTGCTGGCGAAGGTCGTATCGGCGCTGGCCAATATCAGCACCATCGACGAGGATGATCATAGTATCCTGGAACACGCCACGTTACATACGGGCATCAACTGCTTCTCGGATTCGCAGATATTGGCTAGTGAGCAAACGTGGTCCGGTTGGTCGAATAACGGTTCTGATAAGGCCTACCTTACGACGCCCCCTCTGGGACGACAACGAGCGTCCTCGGACATCGGACTCGCTCCGCATCAAACACCAGGAGTAAGAATTCACTTCTGGCGATCGTTCGTTGTGCATTTCTAATATCTCATTTCCCCCGTAGAACCCTTACGACTGGACTTGGAGTGGTGGAGATGCCGTGCAGATCAAGGAAATGATGAAGATCCGTCAGAAGGCCCTCAAGTCCCGGGACAACCTACTTCGGACGGCCTTATCCAACAGCAAACAGCAGTTTGGATCGAATATTTCCGTCACCACGCCACCGCTCCGTACGGAACGCCTCGCGTCCTTCTCGGCGATGAACCGCAAGCTTCTGCAGCGATTGAATCCCTTCAGAAAAACTTCAACGGTATCCGAAACAAAATCCAGTTCTATTTACGACGTGGAGGCTGGTCGCCCCATCGAAACTTACTTGTCGAACACTTCCCGAGGAAGAGCTTCGATGTTCAACTTCTCTCAACAACAGTATTTGTCGACAAGTTCCAGGGGACGAGGTAGCATGATGTCCCTTCCACCGTCCGATGAACATCTCCTGGAGACGACCACCATTGGCGATCTGATTCGAGCCCTGGAAATAGCCCATACGCAAGCAGCCATGCCAAACTTCGTTGGCAATACACCGAAGCGCAAGCTCGCAACATCAAATCCCCCTCAGATGCCGCCGTCGGTGATGTCGATCTTTGCGAACCAACCGTCGCGGGATGCCGTCTCGCGAAGAGGATCGCTCAAATTGCCACTAGGTCAATCGTTGAGCAATCCACTCCAATCTAGTCCTCACAGCCATAGTCCAGGGTCTTCCTCGTCGTACCGTCCGGCGAATCCTCCGCCCTACAATACCGCTTCCGCTTACCCAACCTCCCCGAAACCTCTTCGGCGACGTTTCAGTGTCCGCCTGTCCAGCCTTGCCTACCCACCGGGTCAGTGTCCTCGCTCGGGAACTCCCTTAGATACCTCCAGTCCTCTTACCTCCTCAACCTCGTCACTTCACAATCCCACCACAAGCCTCCAACGGAAACTCTCCAACCGTCCCAGCCCCCTGGCCAGTCAAAACCAAAACCTCTTGACGGTTCCGTCAACCGTGGGCGGCGGCAGCGGCTCCAAATCCTGGCGACCCGCTCTACTTCGGTCGGATTCGGATCAAACGGCCTGCTTTTCACCCATTCAGCGAATTACGCCCTCTATGATCGGAACCCGCTGTCGCCATAGTAGCCTGTGCCACAATGACGATGCCAGAACCAAGGACGACAGCGGAAACAGCTGATCCGAATCTGAGGCCACCTTGATTTAATCTTTTTTTTTCGTAGAAAACCGAGTGACAAATGAAACTAAACAGTATTGCCTTATTATAACAAAAAAAAAACATAATTAGTGAAACAAACAAGTGTGAGAAAGTGATCATCAGTGAGTAACGCAATTTTTAGGAAATCTATTCCAGCCAGTCAGTCATTAGGTTGTCGTAAGTGCCAATGAGACCAGACCAACTTAATTATTAGGCATCGCTAGTGGGATAAGTTTTATGATAGGACTACATTGAATGTATTTTATTAGTACAATTTGACCATTCCAAATGGAGCATATAGTTAATGTTAATGAATAGGCATTGAGGATGAAATTTGAAATGATGCTGCGCAGGTCGAAGCTCGTATTTATATAACATATATAGCAGCGCCATATTGAGTTTAAGAAAGACAGTGAGCATAATGTTGGCTGATGAAATTGTAAAGCTTTAGGATGAGAAAAAATAATGAGACTTTTGAGTAAAGGTGCAAAGTTACTTTGAGAGCATTCCAAAATCAAAGATAGACTTTGGTGTTGTTGATCGAAAGAAATCCTGTTCAAATAATTTCGGGCGTTGAAAAATCAAAAGTTAAATATGTTGAACCTATGCCATTTTTAGCATCCACGATCATTTCAAAGCAGTGTACAGTGAGGTTTAAAATTGTCTTCCGCTGAAATCATAACATTATATTTATGTTTCTCAGGGATGGGAAGAAATAGATATTGCCTGAAGGCCATTTAGCTCCACCCTTTTGTGCGCATACATCATGTAAATAATAAATCGATACTGCCAGCTATGCGCCACTGCGTGAAAGCAAACAGGGGCCCTTATTACGAGTGTCACCTCACGGTGAAAACGAAGTGAACTGACAAGTTGTCATTCACGGTGGGCCGTGCAAATCAAATGGGAATCACTTCACCGTGACGACAAGTGACAAGTTTTCACCGTGAAGTGACATCCGTAATAAGCCCCAATAAGGGCCCGTGAGTGAAAAGTTGTCACTTCACTTCGTGTTCACCGTGAAGTGACACCTGTAATAAAGGCCTATGTCCTTTTAGCGGACTGTAAGTAGGCATATTCTTATTACAGGTGTCACTCACGGTGAAGTGATTCCTATTTGATTTGCCCGGCAATCACTTCACCGTGAGTGTTTTGGCACACGACAATTATAGACCTTCGGACTGGCGCAACATTCTTTAACGTACCCCATTCTAGTCGAAATTCTAGTACTACGCAATGTTTGTTTTGATTCACTATGAAAGTTTGACAGATAAAATGAGGGGTTATTGGTTTTTCCTATTTTTCGAGGGGTGAATCGATTAGCTTGGGACCGAAGATAGTACCAGAGCTGAGCCAAAAAGTTGAGCACGTTTCTTCGGGACCTACTAGTCTTAGAGTTACCTCTATGGTATAATCAAATGAAATTACAGAACGTTTACGTCCAAAGGAAATTACTGAGCATTTGTTGGCATTCAAGCTCATACGATTAGTTGCGCACCATTTGGAAAAAAGGTTAAGATCTTTCTGATGGAAATGTGCATCTTCTTCACAGGTTATTACATAAAAGAGTTTGAAGTCATCGGCATACGAGAGCTTAAAACATTTGAGCACTAGGTTGACGTCATTCAGGTACAGCAAGAATAAGAATGGTCCAATATGACTGCCCTGTGGAACACCAGATGTGACATGGAATGGTTCTGATATAGTATTACCAATTTTGACCGACATTGAACGACCAACCAGATAATAGAGTTTAGCCAATCTAGCAACTAACCAGAGAAACCAAGACGTTCAAGCTTTGCGATCAAGATTTCATGGTTTATTCTATCGAAAGCAGCTGAAAAATTAGTATAAATGGCATCGACCTGCTTGTGAGCTTCTATAGTCTTGATGATGAATGACGTGTATGGAACCAGATTAGTGCAGATGGATCTCTTCGGCATTAGCCCATGTTGTGTCGCGGAAACGTAGTTGAGACAATAATGCTTGAGGAAGTCGAGGACAATCAGCTCAAATAGTTTAGACCTAGCTCTATAGTTTGAAACCTCTCGTTTATCGCCTTTTTTGTACACGGGAAAAACGAATGATATCTTCCATGTTTTAGGAAAAGATCCGGATGAGAGCGAGCGGTTAAAAATAATAGCTAGAAGATGAAGTAATGAAATTGGGTTGTTAGCGGAATGCTAAATAAAACAGCAAAAAAAGTTATCTTCCATTTAATTCCACTCGATTAATTTTGGTATCCATGACAGATACGTATTTCGACTACAATGTGCAGTCTTCATCAGTGTCATTCCCACTAAAGAAATTATCAAAATCTAACCCCCTTAAGTAATCATCCCCTAGGTATAAAAGTCATGATCACAGGTATAAAAATGAAACTACAATGTGTTGAATCGGAACCTACCTAACTAATAAAAACCAAAGATTTAAGGGGGTTAGATTTTGATAAGTTCTTTAGTGGGAATGACACTGATGAAGACTGCACATTGTAGTCGAAATACGTATCTGTCATGGATACCAAAATTAATTAAGTGGAATTAAATGGAAGATAACCTTTTTTGCTGTTTTAGCTAGAGGATGCGAGAGGGCAGAACTACACTTCTTCAAGATGATAGATGGTATGCCGTCCGGACCGGGGTTTGGTGAGCATTTCAACCGAGCGCAAGCTGATTCAACAGTATTATGTGATATCCGTGTATGAGGACCAATGGCAGAGCGGGGAGGTATATTAGCTGCAGCATCAGTCACCGGATGTAGGTCAAATGATTCGTCAGTAAATACTGCTGAGAATTGTTCTTTGAAAAGGTCAGTTATGGCCGGAAGAGAAGAAGCTTCTTTATGGCCGAGCTTCATGGTTGAAGGTAGTCCTATTTCCTTCCGCTGTTCGTCGATACATGACCAGAACTTCTTAGGATTGTCTTTTAAATTACGTTGAATTCGACGCAGATAAGTATGACACAGTTTCTTGTTAAGCCGCTTGTATCTACTGTGTTGCAGGCGAGGTAATACGACCGTATGTAGAAGTTACGACTCTTGGACAGTTTTTTGAGAGCCGATCTTTTAACCGACTTCAGGCGCTTAAGAAGGCTGTTGGACCAGGGTGGGTACACAGGATTTTACACACTATTTTGGGGGTGAACTGATCTATGGCGTAAGCTACGACGGGGCGGATGATGGCGGCATTCCTTAACAAGAGGGGTTGGAGCTTCAGAAACAGTAGTATCGTGATTGAGATCTTGGCTAACAAAACAGAGATCAAGCAAGCATGATTGATTTTAGTGCGTACGAACTCCATCAAGCTGTACCATTTGGATAAAGCTCTCGTTGGTGCAGCAGCAGGAATCCTTGACGCAAAAACTATGAACGAGAACAACTATGAGCACACATGGACGATTCTCACAGAGCGTTTCGAAAACCCTCGCGTCATCATCAACAGCCACATCCGTGGTCTGCTGTCGTTGAAGAAAATAACAAAAAATTCTACCGTGAGCTACATCAACTGGTCGATGGATGCACCCTGCATATCGAAAATCTTCGCTTCTTGGAGCAAGATCTTCTTGCTCGTAGCTTATCGTCATCCACTTCCTAGCATCAGCATTGGATACGGTCACTAGGAGGCAGTGGCAAGCAACCATCGTGCGAGCAAAGCTGCCTAAGTACGATGCTATGATAGCATTCCTGAAGCAGCAATGTGACATACTGGAGAACTGTGAAGCATCCAATCAATCTGCACTCCATCGTGTGCAGCAGCCGAACTTGAAGACTACAGTACAGCCGAAGTTCAACCTGAAAATCTTAGCCGTTTCAACCAACAGTAGTGGTGCTTCCAATTTCCAATGCGAGTTCCTGAAAAGTTTGAGTGTGTACCAACGTGTGGAGAAAGCACGTTCTTTGGGCATGTGCTTCAATTGTCTGAGGAAAGGTCATCGACTGGTGACGTCAACGTCACCATACTCAACTCCCTGATGATGCCAGGTCCAGGTCGAAACCAGACCATCTTGAAAGTAAGAAAGATGCAGCGTCTGGCTCGTCGGTTCCTACACCGAAGTCGGCCGATGCCGAAGCCGAAGCTGGCCTATCCAGTGCTTCAACAAGTGCCGTTACTTCAACCTGCTCAATTCAAGCTTCACCAGTGGCGTCGCGTCCACATGTGCAACCTGTGCACGACACAGGTGTAAACAATTAAAAAAATGCGTTTAGATTTTTATAGATTTTATGGTCACATTATAGCTGTACTTCTTTACTCCAGACCACAAAAAGGGTTAAATTCAGTTGGGATGGTCTGCCTAATCCCTAATGCATTGATTTCTAAGCATGTCGATATCACTACCATGACAAAACTCGTTAAATAGTGCACCTAAAAGCGAGCTCTTTTGGGTGGCGGGTGGCAAGTTTGTGAATGGCCAAATGCCTGATGTAAGCCAAGCAGACTTTCTATCACCTCTAGAAACATACCACAAATTTTCCACAATACATGGCGGTTTGCACCACTGGTTGTAATTCAAGCTTTCAGCAGTCACGCGTCAAACGGGAGCAACACGGGAAGAGCAGTCTGGTACGCTTTGGACGTTATCATACTTGCAGACCGGTTTGAATGTGTGAGTTTAAATTAGAAGAACATTTGTGATGTATGGGTGCCTAAAGCGTGCATTTCTCGCTGTGCACTTGGATATCTGATTGCAGACAAAGAGAGTAATGGAGAATGAGAGCGCAAAAGCCGACTTTTACTCTCTTGTCAGTTGTGAATCTCTCAATTATCGATAGTTGCGACGGTGCGCCTGTCAAAACTTATGAGCTTCCCCTGGTTCATTCTGATAGTGTTGTTCTATTGAATAAAGAGTTGATTAATTCAAGTCCGCTTCCCAGGGGAGTATGAATTTTGTTTTGTATCAAAAAATGTTTTCGGAAGTGTTTGACGGATATTCTTTATTACACTTCAATCGAAAGAGTTAGCCTTTTGATAAAAACGAGAATTCAACCTGAACATTGCATTAGGTCCTAAGTAACATTGACAGATTCTCTCCGTCAACTTTCTCTTTGTATCTCCACGGCCATGTAAATACATTCCCAAGTATTTTCAGCACACAGATCGATAAAAGAAGCTTTTATCTAGCATCTAAAACGACAAACACAACAAGAAATGGTTATGTGCTCAAGTTATTAACGAAATAGAAAGTCGACGAAGAGAATCGATCAATATTACTTAGAACCTAATGCAATGTTCAGCTGGAATTAGTTAAGTTTTGCAATTCCTCCTACTTCGGTTAGCGCGAAAAGGGCCATACAAGTTTTGTTTATACAAGATGATAGGTTCTTCAAATGTTACGTTAGGTAGTGATTAATATAGTGATGGAGAATATGTCCCTCGAATTCATGGAGCATTGAAAAATAAAACAAAAACTAACATGTGGTGGTAAACTATACCGAACAAAGCTTGGTGCACAGGTCAACAAATGAGGCACGCGACGCCTCTGAGCTGCACCAACCAAGAAGAACGTTCTCCTGCTAACAGCAGTGGTAAACATCTTCGATCGCCAAGGTATGCCTCATCTTACACACATGGCCGTTACTCCTTCAGTAACTGGTGCAATTCCGAACACCGAGATCGATGTGAGTGATTGGTGAGTGATCCCAACTTCAATACTCATCACAGCAAAAAAATAATTTTGATATCACGTCAAAGTGGATGCACTACAATGTTTATGGTTTTGGAATTGAGTTCATCCCTGACTGATTTTTCTGCAATACAATTACTGTGAGAGAGAGAGATTTCAAGAACAGGAACTTTGCCTGTCTACCCGATATCGTTTGTTTTTTGATTGCTACTACGTCTTATTATTCTAATAAAAGTGAATTTGAGAGCAGACATTTTTGTTCTACAAGTTTTATTTATTTTCGGTTCGGAAATTCGGAAAAGTCCCGGTTTCGCGTGGTAGAACTTCGCGTCAGTTCTCGGTAGTCGTGCCTTGTCCACTTCCGCATCATTTCGAACGATTAACATTTGGTCCTTCGAGCTGGATCGGCGTGAATCAGCGACAATGGAGGAGCTGATCAGGAAAAGAAACGTGGCCTTCGAGAGGCTGAAGAGAGTACATGCGAGTGCGAGGCAGCTGGCAGAACATGAAACACAGGCGTTCGAGGTTCACGATCGGCTTCGGAAATTAGCCGAGATGGAGGAATCTTTCGACAGGATTCAAGCTGAAATCGAAGAAGCAGTCCCGAACGAGGAACTTTCTTTGGTGCTCAGTGTGCGTTCGGACTACGAACAACTTTTCTACACAACGAAAGGACTGATTACAAAGCTGCTGCAAGTGAAGGAAGGTCCATCAAGTGCTGGCAGTGATTCTACAGTAGTAGATCCTAATAACGAGCTGAAGGAGGCAGTCCGTGTACTGCTCGAAACGCAACGAACTATACAATTACAATTTGCCCGTGTTCAGAGGTGACAGGAAGCAGTGGGCTTCTTTTAAAGATCTTTTCGTCAGCGGCGTCGATAATAAAAACCTAACTAGTGCTCTAAAGCTACAATTACTGATGTCCCATCTGGAAGGTGACGCCAGAAGCCTAGTTAGCAGTTACTCTATCACCGACGCAAACTATAAACAGGTGTGGGATACACTTGTTGAGCACTTCGACAAACCAAAGTTCACAGTTGCCGCTCTGGTTCAGGAGTTCTGCGACCAACCGGCAATAAGGCCTTTGAATCTTGTAAGCTTACGAAAGTTAGTGTCAACGTCCGACGAGGTTATTCGTCAACTCTGTGCCCTGGGGCCAATTTGCGAAACGAGAGATCCTTGGTTGAACCACATCGTACTGAAGAAGCTTGATGATGGTCTTCGGTCTCAGTGGGCACAGCATATTGTGGATAATGACGACCCAACGTTCGTCGATCTTCTCAAGTTTCTTAAAAGGAAGTGTGAAGCGTTGGAGACATGTGCAGCGTTCGGTGGAAAACCCTCGGAGTACGGCAGAAAGGAACCTCATAGAGATGACCGCAAGCAACTCACCGTGAAAAAGGAAATCAAGACATTCAATGCAGTTCAACAGCAGTCGTGTCCGGTTTGCGCGGAAAGCCACAGGATTTATGAGTGCACCGTCTTCAAGGAATCTTCTGTCAACGAAAGGCGCGAACGAGTGCAGCAGGCGAAACTATGTTTCAATTGTCTGAGACCAAACCATTGCGCCAAATCCTGTCCGTCGAAGTCGGTATGCCGCACACCACACTGTCAACAACGTCACCATACGATGCTGTGCAAGGCAGACAACAATGAGCTAACATCGACCCCGCCGTCAGAAAAGCAAGTTTCGTCTTCGCCTTCACCACAGCAGCCGCAAAGTTCTGCAGCAGTCGACATCAAGCCAGCGGTGTCCTGCACGACTAACGTCAAAAACAGCTGTTCTTCAGTTGTCATCGGCCTACTACCAACGGCATTAGTACGAGTGAAGCAAATTGATGGTCAGTGCCAGGAAGTACGAGTGATGATTGATAGCGGTTCACAAGCATCACTTATCACGGAGAATTGCGTGACCAATCTCGGATTGCAGCGAAGCAACGCTAATCTGATTGTCACCGGAATCGCAAGCTGCTCATCGGAAACCACCAGAGGAGTTGTCGACCTCGAAATTTCTTCTCGCTTTTGCTGCAATTCGGTGGTCAACGTCAAGGCTTATGTGCTGTCCAAGTTCCCGCGGATCGTACCAAACCAGCGATTGGATCCTGAACGGCTAAAATGTTTGGAAACATTGCAGCTAGCGGACCCACATTTTGACAAGCCCGGCAGAATCGATATTATTCTTGGAGCTGATGTTTTCTTGGCTATTTTGGAAGATGGCAAGGTAAAAGATGGATCGGGACTTCCAGTGGCGATCAACTCAACTTTTGGATGGATTGTTGCCGGTCAAGTTTTCGACGCCAGCGAGGTGAATTGCAACACGGCCATCATCAGTCTCAGCATGGACATGGACATCGACAAGGTTCTCCGGAAATTTTGGGAAGTTGAAGAGGTCAACAGACCGAAACCTTTGACACAGGAGGAGCAGCAAGAAGTGGATTTCTTTAATACTACGCATCGACGTGATGAAACTGGTAGATTTACAGTGCGTTTACCGTTCGACGAAAGCAAACCCGCATTAGGTGACTCGATGCCAGCAGCAGTCCAGCGGTTGAAGGCGATGGAAAGGAGATTCGTTCGAAATCCAGGCTTCAAACAGATGTACGGTGAGTTCATGACCGAGTACCTTAATCTTGGTCACATGGAGAGGATTCCAGACGACGAGGTTAACGTTTCGCCGGAGAAAAGTTTCTACCTTCCACATCACGGTGTCATGCGGCAAGACAGTGTCACAACCAAATTGCGAGTCGTGTTTGACGGCTCGTGTCAATCGTCATCCGGAATTTCTTTGAACGAGAAACTGTTGACTGGACCGAAGGTCACCGAGGACTTGCCTGTCGTCCTCACCCGTTTTCGTAGCTACGCTTTCGCCTTTATTGCGGATGCGGAAAAAATGTATCGACAGATATGGATACACAGAGACGATGTTGATTACTTGCGTACTGTATGGAGAGCGGAAGCCGATAAACCCATTGAACATTACCGGTTGCTGACAGTTACGTACGGGACTTCATGTGCGCCATTTCTGGCTATCGAATCCTTACGACAAGCTGCCCGTGATTCCTGTGCGCAGTTTCCAGTAGCAGCTGATCGAGTGCTGAAAAACTTTTATGTTGATGATTTCCTCTCTGGCGCTGCAACATTGGAAGACGCACTCACGTTGAAGAAAGACATCGTTCGAATTACATCGGAAGCAGGTTTTCATCTTCGGAAGTGGTCAGCAAATGATTCCCGGCTGCTGGACGAGAATGCAAACGCTGCTCAACTCGAGGCTCAACCATCAGTCCCTGTTAATTTACAATCAGAATCGGATGCAGTAAAAGCACTGGGTATTCATTGGTATCCAGCCACAGACTCTTTCGGATTCCGTTTGAATTTCGACATCGACAAGCCAAACACCAAGCGGCAACTTCTATCAGATTCAGCCCGGCTTTTCGATCCCTTGGGCTGGATCTCACCGATAATTGTGCGTATCAAGATACTGTACCAAACACTGTGGTTGCAGGACTTACAATGGGATGACCCACTTCCAGCTGTTATCAACAAGGAGTGGAACAACATCAAGGCAAGTTTGACATCAATCGAAGACATTCGCATTCCAAGATGGATCGTAAATCACCACGGAGCGGTACAGCTACATGGATTTGCTGACGCGTCTGAAACAGCCTATGCAGCAGTGGTGTACGCCAGATCTAAAGACGATGATGGCAATGTCAGCATTTCGCTGGTTGCGAGCAAAACCAAGGTTGCTCCTATTCAGCAAGTGTCCCTTCCTCGGCTTGAATTAAACGCTGCCGTTCTTCTTGTGGAGCTCATGAAGCAGATTCTCGAATCACTGGATCACTTGGATGTTACCTTTTACGCGTGGACGGATTCTACCGTTGTGCTTGGATGGCTCACGTCGCATCCAAAGAAATGGAAAACTTTTGTGGCAAATCGGACATCGGCGATATTAGATTTCCTGCCTCGTAGTTCGTGGCATCACATATCATCGAGTGAAAATCCTGCTGACTGTGCATCTAGAGGTTTGCTACCAACGGAGCTGGTTGACCACAATTTGTGGTGGACTGGTCCGTCCCTCCTGTACGACAACGAAGACATCTGGAAGGAAAGTACAGAAGCAGTACACATTACGGAAGACACAACGGAGCAAAGAAGAGCAATTTCGGCGGTTACGGCTGCTGTCAAACCTGCATCGGACTGGAAAGTTGAAGAATATCTCCTGAAACGAAATACATCTTTAAAGGATTCGCAACGAGAGCTAGCGTGGGTGTACAGATTCAAGGTCAACTCACTATGGAAGGTACGAGGAACTGAGAAGATTACTGGACAACTGAAGCCATTGGAAGTTCATGATGCCAATCTACAGTTGGCCCGTTTTGCTCAGCATCAGGTGTTTGGAAGCGATATCGAACATCTTCGAAAAGGTCAACCACTTCCTTCTAACAGTAAACTCAAACCAGCCATTTCACATGAAGCATCCTGTTATACTTCCCAAGTCGCATCGTTTTACACTACAGCTGATATCGATGTTGCATCTACAGAATCTACATGCTGGTCCTACTCTGCTTATCGCGACACTGAACCAACACTACTGGGTAATCGGCTGCCAATCAGTGGTGCGGTCTGTGGTAAATAGCTGCGTAAGGTGTGCACGGTGGAAAGCTAAAACAGCAAACCAATTGATGGGTAGTTTGCCTGCGGTGCGAACTGTTACCAGTCGAACATTTGAAAACGTTGGCGTGGACTATGCTGGGCCTGTCACAATAAAGGCCAGCCTACTGCGATCTGTGAAAACCGTTAAATGCTACATAGCAGTTTTTGTGTGCCTTGCAACAAAAGCTGTGCACTTGGAGGCGGCTACCGATCTATCATCAAAAACTTTCATATCAGCTTTGAAACGTTTTTGCGCTCGTCGTGGTTTGCCCAGTCAACTGTGGTCTGATAATGGCACAAATTTTGTTGGTGCCGATCGCCAGCTAAAGGAGCTTTTGGCGTCAGCTACATTCAACACCGAAGTAGACCAATACGTGAGCAGTTTGGGAGTACAGTGGAATTTCATCACACCGTCAGCCCCCCACATGGGCGGTATTTGGGAAGGAGCAGTAAAAAGCATGAAAAAACACTTGCACGTTGTGCTGGGAACCAACGTTTTGAGTTTCGAAGAGTTGATCACTGTCTTAACCCAGATTGAAGCATGCTTGAACTCACGACCATTGTGTGCGCTTTCAAACTCAGTTGATTCCTGCGAGGCTTTGACTCCCGGACATTTTATTTACTGCATTTGTTTATTTATGTGGTCATAAAAATTACATGAAATTTTCGACATGATTGTAGTGCATCCACTTTGATGTAATATCAAAATTATTTTTTTGCTGTGATCAAGAAATCGATATGTCGATTGGCCACGGTCTGTTTTCCAGCTACTCAAGTCCGGCCAGTACCGACTGGATGAACATCTTCCTGAGTTGCGAGACACGCATTTTGGTTAGATGTTCACTGGAGAATACGAAGAAACGTGTAAACAAAGTGCATCCTATTCCCACACGATCACTGTCGACGGCGTGCATGATGCTGTCCAGCGTTTCTGGCACATCGAAAAAGTTTCCGAGCATGTAACCATATCAACCGAAGCTGAACAATGTGAGAAGCGAGGAAGGACGATTTGTTGCTCAGCTCCCGCTGAAGGAAAATGTGAACCAACTGAGTGACTGTCGACCGCTGGCTTTGAAGCGATTCCATCTCCTCGAACAGCGTTTCGTTCGACCTCCGTGCCTACGTGAGCAGTACGTGCAGTTCATCAGAGACATGCTGTCATCCGTCCTGATAGCTCCTCGACAAAGTGCTGAGTTGTCTTCGATGCTTCTGCCAAGCCGTCGAAGAACAGTGCTTCCCTCAATTCTTTGGTGCAAGCAATGTAAATATTTACCTTATTTGACGAAACCCACACGGTAAGAAAAAAGTCCCCAACGGAAAGTTCACTTTTACCTACTTTTGACTAGTTTGTCTCCTTTTCTCCTTCTATTGTTGTCAAAAACGGAGAAGCAAAACCACCCAACAGGGGTAGTAAAGTGTGGGAACCCAACGTTGCGTATAATCATATTTACCTACTATTGGGTACAACTAACTTACTTTTGGTTAAAAAGCCAGTGGAAAATTCCATACGAACTGCACACAAGTAAATGAAAATTACTTTGACCAGCTTTACCTACTTTTGGGTTCCTGCACTATAGTGCCGAGATGAGTGAAAAGAACTTAATTTTGGGTACTTTTTTCTAACCGTGCCGATAATCATGACGTTTGATTCTTGAAAACAATTTGAATGAAAAAAAAACCTACTGCTGTCATGATTACCTGAGATTTGTGAAATAATGTACATATTTACACCGATTGCATCGAAAAATAATGTCCTCGAGGTAGGTGGTACTGTCTAGAAACGCTGGAATAAGAGACCAGCGGAGAAAAAAACATGAATCAGGCAACAAGATAAACATCAAAGCAATCCGGGCATCGCTTGTATTTGTAACTGCTTGCGAGTGACTTCGCCAATGCACCGACGAGCGAGTTCATGAGTGATTGTTAAACGATTGTAATACTCCTCCCTAATTGAAGCAAACCATTTGTAAACATTGCAGATTGGAACCGCCTTTGACAGTTCGATTTCTAGTATTGTCTAAAAGTATGGTCGCCTGGCACCGCTTTGCTCGATTGGAACAGCTTTTTTCAGTTTTGTTGTGACAGTCGTTCACACTTTAACTAGAGGGCTTTACTGCCCATAATCGCAAGTCAGTCCGATCTGTAAAAAACTGGAAATAAGAAAATGGCGTTCAAAGGTTTTACAAGTTTTCTGATTTGACACTTATTTTGGAGGGATAAATTTAAAAATTAACGTGCAATGTGATAGAATGCATCCATGTTTACCCAAACATATTGGAAAAACATCGTGAATTTTTTATTTTATAGCCAAAATCTGAGTGGCACTGACTTGCGATTACATTTAACGTCAATGAGAAAAATATCCGCAAGTCAGTCACAATTCCATGATGATGCTGCATTAGTTTAGCACAGTATTGAACAGTAGAAAGATACCATGGTTCCATAAAACGTTATTGAATGTTGCTGGATTTGTTCCGCTGGTTCCAGATAAAAATGCAGATGGGACTGACTTACGATTACCGGCAGTTTAGTACTGTCCAGTCCGATATTCTCGATATTAGGTTTCGCACCGTCGGGGTTAACCTCAATCTGATGACAGTTCAGTGGTACTGTTTACGTGGACTTAGTCGATATTTTCTTGGGTGGATTTTCTCGATAATTTTTTTCGGACTGCAGTGAGATGTAAACCACACTTCTGCAATGTCCATGAGCACCATCCTTTCTACGCGCTGTTCCTCGAAAATTTTCAAGTTGAAATTCGGAAATTTAAGAATATTTTTTTTCGAAAAAACGACTGTCAAAAAGGTTCAGCCGGCTAACACTGAGTTCATTTATGACGTCACGCTGCAGTACCTAATTGTCTTGAGATTTCGTAAGGACAAGTATGCATTCATCGCTGATATCGGCAAGATGTATCGTCAAAATCTCGTTGCTTTGATTCATCTGTGCCTCCAGAGAATTTTTTGGAGAGAGAGAGTCCCGAAAAGCCGTTGAAAGTGTATGAACTAACCACCGTAACATACGGTACAGCGCACATTTCCTTGCAACTCGTTGCTTAGTGCAGTTGGCTGAAGATGGCAAGTCGGAGAATCCTTTGGGAGCGTGCACAGTGAAAGAAAATTTTTATGTCGACGTTGGAAGCAGCTATCGAGCGACAGAAGTAGGTGAAAGATTTTCTCGCTAGTGCTGGGCTTCCCATTGCTAAGTGGTGCTCAAACTCCGAGCAATTGCTGGAACACATTCCAGAATGTGAACGTGACGAAAAGAAGATCCTGGAAGAGCAAGGTGTCAACACAGTGATGAATTCCTGTTCTTGATTAAGTCACCAAATGTTGATGCTGATTCCGAATACTACGCGAAGAGAATCATTTTGTCTGAGATTGCCAAGTTGTCCTCTTGGATTCTTAACGCCAGTGATTGTTCTTGTTAAGTTG